CTATACTCTGTTCACCGAGAGTGTGGGACCGTTTCGCGCAGCTTGGAAGGTGGTGGGGGTCGCAACGAACTCCCTCCACACGGTTCAGTATACACGGTAAAGCATTGAGATGCGCAGAACGAGCGAAAACTGAACTGTGCACAGTCCCGGACTCTCGGTGAACGGAGTATAGCTACGTACGATTTATTATGTGGCCACGCATGCGGGATAATTGGCATGCCTTGCCGACAAGTAGAAATTTCCGTTTCGTGACAGACGGCGCAGTTAAATTTCTGACCACAATACGGGATGATAAGTAGATCGGAGAAATTTATTCATTTATAATACTTGATGGATATTGACGTACAAGGTAATTCAATTAGCTCTGGATATTTAAATGGACCGGACCCAGCCGTAAAGATTCCCAGAATGGCACATGTGTCACCGCTGATGAATATTTAAAACCACTGGATTTTCTATACAAAAATAATTTCCTATTAACGACTTCTGTCAAATTCTTTTTAAATCGTGTACGTATTTCAGTCTTTTGACTTCTGAGATAGAAAGTATATAAATAGACGTGTATCGAGATTTCTATAATTATAATGTTCAACAGTCGACTTTTAATACGACCGAAGAAGAATACTCGCGTTCGAACTGAAAATGGAACGATACTCGATCGCGTTAACGGAATGAAATCTGTAACTGCAAAGGAGGGCGTAATTTGATATTTTAATTTTCGGAAACACCTGCAACCGAGAACAAAGGATCGTTACAGACAAAAGAGTCAGGAAACTATTTCGTCTCGTATTCAACCAGTGAAAGGGTGCTGAGAGGTTCCAAGCAGTTCACCTCGAAATCAAGCAAATATTAAATACCACGCTACTTTCAGATCATTATTCTTTTATTCTCAGTACTCGGATCATCGCTCGAATATTTGGCAGAATTTGTAATCTCGTCAAATTCTAATAAGGAATGTTGGGATGAGTAAACTCGCTTTAATCGAGGTTACAATGTAAGAAGTTTGAAAAAAAATCGATAGGTCCATCATCGTTTAACGTTAATGATTGTTCGTTACAGCGCGGATGAAGGGTTCGATGGTACTTACCCGACGAACGTCGTCGTGAAGAACAATGGAACCTGCTTGTACGTACCGCCCGGCATATTCAAGAGCACTTGCAAGATAGACATTACCTGGTTCCCGTTCGACGATCAACGCTGCGAGATGAAATTCGGATCCTGGACGTACGATGGTTTTCAGGTGAGGAACACCTTCGCGTACATGAACTATACATACATTTACGTAAGTACGAACTGGGTCAGCGCGAATTCGTTTCCTCGAAACGCGCGGTTTCCAGTGCGTTCAAGAATTCCTTCACGAAATCCTGCTGGCGAAAAGCCACATTTCCATGTATAACGAACGCACTTCGGTCCCTGTAGATTTTCACCTCTGCAAAGCCTAATGAGCCTAAACGTCTCACCGAGTTTCTACGGGTAGATATTGTTTTGGCTCACTGCTGGATTATTCGTTTAATTTTAATGTAGAAGCGAATGATGTCGCGAGTATTGTAACCATATTTTAATATGAATGCGCTAGGGATCAAGGAGGATCTTACGAAATGAAGGATTCAATTCTAAACACGTGCTGTAACCAGTTATATAATCATACCATTGCACAATTACAATCTAGTAATGGAAATGATTAACTTTTTATCAAATCTCTGAGTGCCTTCAAATGCATAATTTTTTCCCACGAACCTGATTTTATTACTTACGAATTCCTATGTACGCCGTTTTACCAAAGTGCAAGCCATTGTCGGATTGGAAATGAAAAGTTTAGATTCAATTTTACAAACCGCTGATTTCATAAACCGCATTGTCCGTTTAGCGCAGCCAGATGTAAAAACGCGGGAATGTGAAACATTATTTTGTAAAGAATTCCAGAAAATTCGCGACTCGCGGAACGGTGTGTTCCGTGTGTAACAATAAACGCGACAGGCACGGGAAAGGCAGCCACCCGTGGCGTACGGAGAATTTTCAGTAACGCAGTTTCTCGCTAACCTTTCGGTTGGTTAACACAATGCTACCAGCCGGACTGTGCTAGAGATTTCTTCAACGAATTCCTTTTGTCTCGCAAATTTTCTCCTCGCCAGAAAATATCCGGCGCGAAATGCAAATTTTTTACACGTTACCCAAAATATTATATCGTCAAAACCCCTTCTAATCCTAAAAACGGTATTTTTCTATAGAATTTTTTTATCCGCACTTTTTCAGCTTTCAGATTCTTTCTGTATTATCGTCTTTATTTTCGACATGATTCATATTTTCGCGGAGGCCGCCGAAATTTTTGTAACCGAGTCAGAAATCTTCATTTGTCACTAGCGAACGTACGGAATAATGAAAATCGAGAATGCGAATTAGACGCGACGCGACGGAATTCGAGAATGCTTGAGGGTTCATTAAGGAGGACAATAAGCAGAACGAAGTAACGAGGGCTGCGAGAGGGTGAGGGAAACCAGGGAAAGCGGAATATACGCCGCGTTCCAAGGTTACATTCGATTTGACGTGTAGACCGCGTGAGATCTAAAATAGTCCTTCCTTTTCGATCATTTCCCCTTGCAGCTATTCAAGGGTATTGCACTTACATAACTCGCGATTCAATATTGAAATGGCTTCCTACTGGAGCAGCTCTTAAATCATTCTACATGTAACTTACCACATGTATCCAGACATCCGTCACTTGCAACAGTATCATATCCTGAGTAATAGTTAATATTAAGATTATATCTTAATGATTATATCTTATCTTAAATAAGTACAATGAGAGTATTCCAGTTTTAAGAGATATTGGATAATAATAAAAGATTGGAAACTGATAGAAATCTAACGAGGCTATTAAAAAAATTATTACATCTTGAATGACAAAATTTTGACGTTATTTATGAAAAAATATAGATACAACAATAACAGAATTTTATAATTTTGTATAATTATTAATACAGGTTTTAAGAATATTTTAATGTTGAAATGATGAGAATACTATTTATGATACACGATAAAAAGTAAATCAATTGCACAAGGACGATTTTAATAACAATCTTAGAAAATATTATCCTACTGTATAAAGAGGAAACGTTTGTTTGTACGTTAGAAGGCAAAATCGTCTCTGCTCTTTATAGTATTTGTTCTCTTTTACGAAACTCCATGGACTGTGATTTTTCATGATGTGTCTGTGCATGTACAAAGTCTGATTAAAATCGCACGAGCTCTTAAATAAAAACAATTACAGAAGATTCGATTTTTAACAGTTACTGGATATCGAGTTTTACTTGAGATTCTTCTTCTTTTTCCTTAATTGTTCTCGCGCTCGGATAATCAATAGTTCACTTTTTCTTTATATATTTTATATTTCTTACGGATATATAGCCAATCCCAGCCCCGATCGGTAGCCATATATCCGGAGATTACTGTACTTACCCTGAAGATTCAATCTATTAAACTGTAATGACATCAGCTATTTTATTCTTAAATTGTTGCCACGGTGGATTCAATCTACGCCCCTAATCGGCCCCAATAAATTGTCGACAGTTGGACCTGCAACTGCAAGACGAGTCCGGCGGCGACATCAGCAGTTTCATCACCAACGGCGAGTGGGATCTGTTAGGTGAGTTTTTACAACCCTTATCTTGGATCGTTTCCGAACAGTTTATCCTCGGCCCAGCAGCGCGGCGTTGACGGCAGTTCCCGTCCGATTAGCAATTCTAAAATCCCAGGGCCGATTCGTGAACACAAAGGACTCACTCGCGATCAATCGTTTTCATACACCAGCCACATCCTCCTCCTGATGACCTTTGGCTTTATATATGATCGACTTTTTTTATCCTACATCGTCGAGCTGAGATTTATTCAAAATTGTGGTCGAAAATTAATTGGAAATTTGTGTTCTCGTATAAAGTGTAATTATCTCGTTATTGCAGTGATTAAATTAAATGCAGAACAGGGAGTATTTTGTTAAACAGTAAAGAATGAAAATTGATTGAATAGTTTAGTGAATATAAAAGGAAACAAGTGACAGTTTGGTAGGGGTATAAATTTTTTTTAAATGTATTCGTAGACTTTTATGTGAATTGTAAACTGTGTCTCAGTTTGTGACCACGTACGTAACTTTTATATCCGTCGTGTATGTTTGACGGCACATTGTACATATACATCCGGTGTATGTAGATAGGTTACAAAGCCCCCGGTGTAGAAATATGTCTTAAACGTCTCGAACCGCGGTGAAATGTGGTCGTAACTGAAGAAACACTTGAAAATATATGAGGTCTCCGGGCGTGCCTCTCTCTGTAGGTATGTTACTCGATATAATTCAAGTACAGCGGTGTTCGTTGGGTAAAATAGTTGAGTCATCGATATCCGCTACTAGTCTTCTACTTCCGTGCGTCATTTTACCGTTTCCGAGGCGACGCCCCTCGACTCTCGAACATTTCACAGAACTGCTCATAGTAACTTCAATTTCCAAACGATCACATTAACCGTGATCTAATTATTATTAAAATTTGAATGTTCTGTCATTGTTTTTATTTACGGGTTCGTACAACCTCAATCGAACTTTTTTATATAATATATCTTATATAACTTCTTTAGATTTAATAGCAATTTTTATTAATTGTCCCTTACACATTATTTACGAAACTAAGCCTTCTAATGCTTAAAAAAAATTCGGTTAGGTTTTGTCCAGTATTAAAAAAATTATTTTATTTTGAAATGCCCAAATATTAATAAGGGCCACTGTAATAATTGTCGTCCAACGAAAATTAACTGCATTTGTAAGGAAAAAATCGGGTAATGGTATGTTAAAATAGACAATTGGTAGACGTTGTTGTAATTGAGTTATTATTATGTTGCAGGGGTGCCTGGTAAAAGGAACGAGATTTATTACAATTGCTGCCCGGAACCGTACATAGATATCACGTTCGTAGTGATCATCAGGCGGCGGACGCTTTACTACTTCTTCAACCTGATCGTGCCGTGCGTTCTGATTGCCAGCATGGCCGTTCTGGGATTCACTTTGCCACCCGATTCCGGCGAAAAGCTCTCTCTCGGCAAGTCATACATGTAGATAACCGCTCTGCATGCTAGAAGATTAAACGTCTCCTATGTACAGGACGTCTCAGCTAAAGGAGGCCACCTAAACATCTATTCTGTTTTTTATGTTATGAAAAAGCTTCATAGCATAAATGGTTTCAATGAGGAATGTCCTGTAACAAAACTTCTCGTTGGCTCATTCCTTTCGGTTTCTTTAAGTTCATCGGCATTTTTTATGAAAAAAATGTATCTTGTTTTTCATTGTATAATGTAATGGATGCAAAAATATATTCGGTTCTACTCAAATACAATAGCCTCGTGTGTAACACTTTTTGAACCTCGATGGTTTTTTGTTTTCAACGTTAGCTATATCTTTGAACTTTTTAATTAGTTTAACGTATGACGAACGTGATGGACGTTTGCGATTCGGGAACCGTTCATTCGCTTCCCATAAACATTCAATAACAGCACCATAAGTATTAATCAATTGGATTCGCTCCTGTTTCGATTAATAATGTTAAGTCATCGTGAAACGGTTGCTGATAAACTAATTTCTTCGCAGTGAGCTGGAAACCAAACATTTGTTGTTAACCGTAACTTCCTTGTACCAGGTCGCTGTCGAAATCGTAAGTTTATATCGCAGTAATTTTACGCACCATCGCAGCAACTTTTTCACATTATTGATTTTTATAATTACCTGAAGGTTATCATTTGAATATATCCGAATGTATTTGTTCATCGACTACACGACACAATTGGGGAAAAAACATTAACACATAAAGAATGTCGATGATCCCGAAAAAAAATGAGTCAATAATAAATTTTTGTTGCAGGATATTTCTCATTTGAAACCATTTAAATGATGTTACGAAGCTTTTTCATAACATAAAAAACAGAAGAGGTATTTAAGTGGTCCCCTTTAGATGAGACACCCTGTATATATCCATCGTTAGAAATTGCCCTCTAGGACCAGCTTCCATTCTACTCGTTGTTAAATCTGCCTATTTTAAAGGAATAAGAATGAGAAGCTTAAAACATTTGATTGATTATTCAGGCCTGTGTCGTGACATGAAAAAATGATCGATCGTTTATTTAACATATTCGCGAGGAGCCATTCGGAAAGTCGTATTATTTCGTCGGCCGGATTCCGGCAATTACTCCCTCCCCGGGCAAGTTGAAATCGTCGGGTTGCATATTTCCGATTCCTCGCAAGCTTCGGAGAACGCTATAACGGCTCATGTGATTAGATTCGGTCGAGTTCCCGTAACATATTGAATTGCGCCGGAGATTACGCTCGTGACGATCGCATCGCGATCGCGGACGTTCGTGTATCAGTGAAATTTACCGGAATCTATTGATCAGATTCGAAGCCCTCGAAGTTCCGCGTTTCAGTCGCGACGGTTGCTGCTATATTGTCTTTAGAACACTGAATTCGCTGCGTTTAACAGACATGATTCATTGTACTTGTCGGACCATTCACTGGTTCCATTCAATAAAAATGTGCAAGATATGATTTTCATATCATCGTTATTCAGTCTGAGTCTCGACACATGACGACTTCGAATAACTCACAAGGTATTTGTTGTAGGATGAAAATTTTTAAACAAATGTTGCATGGCTTCCAGTGGAATTGTTTTTTGTTTCTTCGCTGTTTCATTGAGATATGAGCATCGCTTTTAGTTTTTTTTTTAAATAGAGTGACCAATATTTTTTCATGAATTTCCATTAACCATCAAATCCTTATGTGTGAGTAAATAAGTATTATACTAAT